TTGTGTCTCACCCCAATCAATCGCATGACCCCTCCCACCTAAGATAGGTGTTCTGTCCCCTGTAATCTGGGTAAAGGTGTTGTTTACTTCTCTGTTGTTATATGGCAATATCTTCCCACTGCTGACACAGGCAGCCCACTGTATGTTTTCAGGACATGGGTTTGCTACGTCAGTGAAAGTCTGTTTGGCAGATTGCACCACAATTGTGGGATTACCATCGATTTCAGCTCCTGTGTCCAACCTGTATGTAATGTGCAGGCCATTCCGTGAAATGGGCCAACTTTTGTCTGCCAGTATCAGTTGCTGCATGGAATTAATGCTCATGCCTCATCACTGGAGTCCTTCATTGTGTGTACAGGTCTTGTTTGCTGCATTGCTGTACGGACTGGTTGTCCTTCAGGCAGACTCTGCACTTTTGCCCAACACTTGACAATCTCTGTACCCATGTTCATGTCCACACCTCCCACACAGGCATCTGGGCTGTCTGTCTGTGGCAGATTTGGGCTCTCTTTCTCTGCCCTGCCTGATTTGCTCCTATGTGTTCATCCCATGCTCATCCTTCCCATTCTCCTGCCTGATACCCTTATGTGTGGTTTTCTAGCTCTCCCCCTCCCACACCGCCTGCCTCTGCAGTTCTGCCGGCTGCATTGCTGTACCGGTTTGTGCAGCTTTTTCTAAAGTCAGATGCTCACAGGCTCTGAGCGACTGCTCACTACAGCGCCCCACCAGGCTGTCCCTGAACAGGGAATCGCTTAAGGCGCAAACTGCAATATTGGCATCCTAGCTTCACGTCTGTACCTCATTCCTCCATCCCTTGTGCCTTTGGTACTCTGTGAGGAGAGGGAATCTTTCATAGGTTTCCCTTTTCCTAAGTATACAATATGCTTTGAACTGTGCTAGGACTTTGTCAAAATCCATGCTGTCCACAGGTGAGAGCTGGAAGCTATTATAAATCTCTGGCTGTACCTGCTATGGTTAATAGTAAAGCCACTTTCCTGGCATGCTCAGCGTGTCTGCATACATTGCAGACATAAACACCACGAACCTCTGTTTGAAATGCTTCCAGACCCCTTCCACATTGCTCCCAACCTTCATTCTCATGGTGGTTTCAGACCATCCATCCTTGCTGGCTGGGTACATGCAGTTCAGGCGTCTGGAATTGCTGTGAAAATTCTTCTTGATTACGCTCAAATCCATCCGCTCCCTGCATCATGTGGTGTTCTTCTCACAAAGGCAAGGAGCGCTTGTGTTTAACAGCTACAGTCCGTTTGTTTAAACATTCCATAGCACAGCACGGACAGCCTGCAGCGTGCTCCAGTCAGCCACAATGTGCTCTGCCCCTGCCCGCTGCCCAACATGGAAGATGCCCTTTTCGCTCTGTGGCCACACCCATATCCTTACACACCCTACCAGGGGTTCTGCACATGGTGGGTGAGGATTTGCAAAGGGAAAGCAAGAGCAGGTGAAATAAAAAGTCCATTTGACTGAAAACCCTTCCACCCACAGCGAGACACTGCCCCGCTTGTTTGTGTTTGCCTGCTGTTTGCATTCATTGGCTTAGCAAGTTCCTACAGACATCCCCTGCCCAATATTGCAAACTGTCCCCCAGATTTCCTGTGGCTGTAGCTACCAGCAGCTTCCCTAGAAGGCACAGGGAGGCGAAACAACCCAGACACTCAGCACCCAGCGATACTGTCTTGAGCAAGGACGTGAGCAGCACTTCTTGAAGTGGTGTCAGAGGTTCAGGAGCCCTCCCAAAAAGCTTCATATTCTTGGCTCCACCTGTAGGGGAGAAGAAGGAGCTAAGTGACCTTGTTGCTCATGTGCATGCCCAGGATGCTCAGGAAGCTGCTGTTTTCCAGTCAGGGGATCAGTGTGCCCCGGTGACAAGAGTGGCAAAGGTGGGTGTGCCTGGAGCAGCAAGAAAGGCCAGCAGGATGCAGGCGCTCCGTGTGCACAGCCAAGGAGTGATGTGCTCACACGGAAGAGGCAGTTGCCCATGGCTTGATGTTCCAAGACGGTGGGTTTCCAGTGCTCTTGCTGAAGTTCAGCAAGAGGCACCGCAGCTCAGCACCTGGCGATCAGGCTGCCTGCCTGTGCTACCGACTGTGGAGTGTGCAGCTCCCATTGACCCCCTCCCTCTCCCAGTGAGGGGGCACGTTCCCTGCCCCTTTCTTAGTTCCTGCATGGCATGTAGCTGGGATGCTTTCTCCGCCTCATGCCTCAAGCTGGTTTCCCCACCGCACCCATGTGGCAACGAATGCTTCGTGGCTCAGGGTCCCTGAGGAGCATACTGTCTGGAGATCACAGTCCTGGGCTCTCTGCAGAGGTAGGAGCATGTGTGCCAGGGGCCACCCTCCCTTGTTTTAGCCTTTTCAAACTTCTGTCAGTTACAAAAGCTGCCCACTGGGCCTTTGCTTCGGGGTGCCATCTGCCCCCCCCCCACACACACACACACAAAGTTGCTCCACCCAGCCCCAGGCCCTGAAATGCTCTCTCTAGGGGCTCTTCCTTCCAGGAGGGAGGCGGAAGAGAAGCTGGCTCTCATGCCCATGGGGCCTCCTGGAGATCTCCTGCAGGGAAGCACCCTGTGCCCCAGGACAGCTTGCGCTGGGGAGGGGGCTGGGGAAGCGTGTCCCCGGCTGCTCCCCAGAGCCTGGTGCTCTGGCAGGGAGGAGGCAGCCGCTCTGGGCTCATGTTCATCATAAAACTCTGCTTTCTCTTTTGGAAGCCTCTGTTGGGAAACGCTGGTTCTTGGGCTTTTGAACACCTCACGGATGCCCCCTAATGGCTGCTGGGTAAATGGCAGTCTGGAACCAGCTCCGCTCACTCCCGAATCTGTCCCCTCAGACATCTGCTCTTGACACAGAAACCCAAGGAGCGTCAGGACATTGCTCACCCCCCCACCGCCCCGCCTACCAGCTCCCTGTTCTCCACCGCCTCACGCACCTGCTCACGCACCCTCGCCAAGCCCTGCATTCCCCCTGCCCCACGGGGCCCTGTCACCCCACAGCCTCACCTCACCTGCCTCTCATCTAGCCGCAAATTCATCGGCATCCCAGGGTCAGCAGCCTCACCTCCCCTGGGTCTGCATCCCCCCCGTGCCCCATGGGCCTGCTGTGACCCCCCATCACTGTACTCTCCCCCCCCAAGTCTGCATCCCCCCTGTGACCCATGGGCCTGCTGTGAACCCCCATCACTGTACTCTCCCCTCACCAGTCTGCATCCCCTCTGTGCCCCATGGGCCTGCTGTGACCCCCCATCACTGTACTTTCCCCTCGCCAGTCTTCATTCCCCCTGTGCCCCATGGGTCTGCTGTGACCCCCCATCACTGTACTCTCCCCTCGCCAGTCTTCATTCCCCCTGCGGCCCATGGGTCTGCTGTGACCCCCCATCACTGTACTCTCCCCTCGCCAGTCTGCATCCCCCCTGTGCCCCATGGGCCTGCTATGACCCCCCATCACTGTACTCTCCCCTCGCCAGTCTGCATCCCCCCTGTGCCCCATGGGCCTGCTATGACCCCCCATCACTGTACTCTCCCCTCGCCAGTCTTCGTTCCCCCTGTGCCCCATGGGCCTGCTGTGACCCCCCATCACTGTACTCTCCCCTCGCCAGTCTTCATTCCCCCTGCGGCCCATGGGCCTGCTGTGACCCCCCATCACTGTACTCTCCCCTCGCCAGTCTCCATCCCCCCTATGCCCCATGGGTCTGCTGTGATCCCCCATCACTGTACTCTCCCCTCGCCAGTCTGCATCCCCCCTGTGCCCTATGGGCCTGCTATGACCCCCCATCACTGTACTCTCCCCTTGCCAGTCTGCATCCCCCCTGTGCCCCATGGGCCTGCTGTGACCCGCCATCACTGTACTCTCCCCTCGCCAGTCTGCATCCCCCCTGTGCTCCATGAGCCTGCTGTGACCCCCCATCACTGTACTCTCCCCTCGCCAGTCTGCATCCCCCCTGTGCCCCATGGGCCTGCTGTGACCCCCCATCACTGTACTCTCACCCCCCAGTCTGCATCCCCTCTGTGCCCCATGGGCCTGCTGTGACCCCCCCCATCTTTGTACTCCCCCCACCCCAGTCTGCATCCCCCCTCCAGCCCATGGGCCTGCTGTGACCCCCCCATCACTGAACTCTCACAGCATCATAACTGTCCTCACCGCATTCACCTCCACCCCACATAGAGCTGCTGGGGTCCCTGCCGCATAACCTGCCAGTCCCCTCCCCCACAGCCACTCCCACATGGCACTGCTGGGATCCCACTGACTGGCCCCCGGACCGGAGAGCTGACTCCCCCTCCGCCCACCAGAGCCCTGCTGCGGCCCATGGGGAGGCAGGGTCCTGGTTGTGCAGGGTTAAACCCTGGGCTCTGGGCTCCCCTTGGCCCTGGGATGAGCAGGGCCCTGGTACCCTGCAGGGCGAGCGCAGGTTCAGGTGTAGGGTGTCCAGCATAACCAGGATTAGCAATAGGGAAGGGGAAGCAGGCGTTGGGAGCAGGAACCCAAAGCAGATCCACCAAGATCTCTGGCCTCTCATCCCTCCCTTCCCCTGCCCTCCCTACCCCGGCCTGCTGGGGCTGAGAGCTCAATCTCTTCCTGCCACCCCATCCCCCCCTCGCTGCCTGGCTGCCCCAGCCTCCCCCGCCTCCGGGGGGGATATCGCATGGCCCCCCACGAGCCACTTGTGCCCCTGACAAGCCTGGCACCCCCAGCAGGGGCTCCGACCCGGGCCTGGCAAGGGTGGTGAGGCTGTGCAGGGCTCGCCAATGGCCCTGCCTGGCTGCAAGGGGCGAGTGGGCAGGAGTGGCTCCAGGCGCTGGGTCTGGGGCCTGCCATGCCCACGTGCCCCCAGAGGCGCGATGTATGGCCTGGCCATTATGGTGCGGGGGCAGGGAGCATTCGGCAGCCCAGCCCTCCCCCTTCCTCTCGCTGAAGGCTCTCTTGGCAGCTGCCCCGCTCTCTTGGCAGAGACGCACCAGAATTGGAGAAAGCAGCAAGAGAGAAATTAAAAAGGGAAAAAAGCCCAATAGCCTGGAGAAGCTTGTGTGTTTGCCCTTTGTAATGACGTAGTGTCCTGTGCCTCTCCCCTAACTCCCTTCCCCTCCCTTCGGCCAGCCCCCACCCCTCGCCCCTCACAGCCTTGGAAGCCACAATTAAGCGGCTCTGGGATAAAACACACTGGCTGCAAGAGGACTGGGGCATTGCTTCAAGAGATGGCAAGGCAGCTGGCTGCATCCCTCCTTCCCGGAGTCCTCCTCCTCCTCGCCATCCTCCCGGCTTCTCGGCAAGGAGGTAAGGAAAGCAACAGCTGCTTCTCCCCAGCCTGAGCCAGCCATTTAGCCCCAAGCCAGGCCACCTCTCTTGGGACACCTGACCTCAGGCGCTGCCTGGCTGGGACAAGGCTCCCGGGCAGCTGGTTACGGGGCGTGTGTCCCCAAGGGAAGGGGAATGCCCAGCGGGCAGGCTGCTAATGCCACGAACCCCCTTTGGGAACGGAGCAGCTCAACAAAGCCCCCGAGCCAATCGGAGACTTTGCCGTGTCTGCGCTGCCCCTGGGCTCAACTTCCCCCTGCCGTCCGTGGGTCCCATCCACAGCTCCTCGCAGAACCTGGCCTGTCCCTTCTGCTCCCCGCCACTGGGGCAGGCATGCTCCCAACTAGCCATGCCCAAGTGTGACATGGTACTAGGGCTCTCCCTGGGGCAGGGGTCGGAGCATGTTGAGCTGGGAGCCCAGCCGGGGCTGCGCCTGGGGGTCCCTGCCTGACACTGGACAGCAGCTCTCCTGGGGGGAGAGGTGCTGGTTGAGGGGCTCCTACCAGGTCATGCAACGTCCTCCCTAGCGCATCCCAGAAGGCAAGATCCCAGCCCCAGCTAGGGTACCAGGGCCCGCCGGGCTGTCAATGTGGGGGACTGAGATACAGAGAGCAGGCGTGGGGTGAGTGTGAGAGTCCGGGGTTCACTCTGTGTGTGTGTGTGTGAGACACAACCCATGTGTATCACACTCTCAGTGTCTCATGTGTCACTCTACCTCCGCGCGTGTGACACAGCCTGTGTGTAGCCACCTCAGTGTGTATGTGAGAGACACAATACACGTGTCTCATTCTGTGTGTGTCTGACACAGCCTGTGTGTTTTGCTGTGTGTGACAGAGACACAATGTGTGTGGATCACTGTCAGCGAGTGTGTGTGACAAGGTGCCTGTGTAGCACTCTCACTGCAGGTGTGGGTGTGACAGAACCTGTTCACACACCCTTGATGTGTGGATGTGAGAGACACAACCTGTTTGGAGCACTCTATGTGTGTGTGTTTGTATGAGTGTGTATGTATGGCACAGTCCATGCATACAACCTTCAGTGTGCGGGTGTATGAAAGAAAGAGAAACAAAGCCCCTGTGTATAATTCGCAGTGTGTGTGACAGTCTTTGTGTATCACTTTGTGTGCGTGAGACAACACCCAAGTGCATTACTCTGTGTGAGTGTGTGTGTGTGTGTGACAGCCTGTGTGTATATGGGTATATGTGTGACACAGCCAGTATGGAACACTGTGTTTGTGTGTAGGTGTGATACAGCCCATCTGGATCACTGTGTGGGTATGTGACACAGCCCATCCGGATCACTCTGTGTGTGTGTGTGTGTGTGTAGCTGTGACACAGCCCATGCGGATCACTCGGTGTGTGTGTGTGTGTAGTCGTGACACAGCCCGTGTGCATCACTCCCGAAGGCAAAAGGGATGAAAATGCAGCCTGTAGTTCACAATGAACATTGCAGCTGGAGGGGCAGGGCTGGGAGAGGCTGCGGGGTGGGGCGGGGCTGGGAGTGGCTGCGGGGCGGGTGGGGCAGAGCTGGGAGTGGCTGCGGGGGTGGGGGCGGGGGGGCTGGGAGTGGCTGTGGGGTGGGGCAGAGCTGGGAGTGGCTGCGGGGCGGGTGGGGCAGGGGGGCATAGCTGTGGGGTGGGGCTAGGAGTGGCTGCGGGGTGGGGCGGGGCTGGGAGTGGCTGTGGGGTGGGGCAGAGCTGGGAGTGGCTGTGGGGCGGGTGGGGCAGGGCGAGCGTAGCTGTTGGGTGGGGCTAGGAGTGGCTGCGTGGTGGGGCAGGGCGAGCGTAGCTGTGGGGCGGGGCTGGGAGTGGCTGTGGGGTGGGGCAGGGCTGGGCGTGGCTGCGGGGCGGGTGGGGCAGGACGAGTGTAGCTGTGGGGCGGGGCTGGGAGTGGCTGCGGGGGGCGGGGCTGGGAGTGGCTGTGGGGTGGGGCAGGGCGAGTGTAGCTGTGGGCGGGGCTGGGAGTGGTGGGGGGGGCAGGGCTGGGAGTGGCTGTGGGGTGGGGCGGGGCTGGGAGTGGCTGCGGGGGTGGGGCAGGGCGAGCGTAGCTGTGGGGCGGGGTTGGGAGTGGCTGTGGGGTGGGGCGGGGCTGGGAGTGGCTGCGGGGTGGGGCAGGGCAAGCGTAGCTGTGGGGCGGGGTTGGGAGTGGCTGTGGGGTGGGGCAGGGCGAGCGTAGCTGTGGGGCGGGGCTGGGAGTGGCTGCGGGGGGGTGGGGCTGGGAGTGGCTGTGGGGTGGGGCAGGGGCGAGCTTAGCTGTGGGGCGGGGCTGGGAGTGGCTGCTTGGGGGGCGGGGCTGGGAGTGGCTGCGGGGCGGGTGGGGCAGGGCGAGTGTAGCTGTGGGGCGGGGCTGGGAGTGGCTGCGGGGGGCGGGGCTGGGAGTGGCTGTGGGGTGGGGCAGGGCGAGCTTAGCTGTGGGGCGGGGCTGGGAGTGGCTGCTTGGGGGGCGGGGCTGGGAGTGGCTGCAGGGGGCGGGGCTGGGAGTGGCTGTGGGGTGGGGCAGGGCGAGCGTAGCTGTGGGGCGGGGCTGGGAGTGGCTGCTTGGGGGCGGGGCTGGGAGTGTCTGCGGGGGGGGGGCTGGGAGTGGCTGTGGGGTGGGGCAGGGCGAGCGTAGCTGTGGGGTGGGGCTGAGAGTGGCTGCGGGGGGCGGGGCTGGGAGTGGCTGTGGGGTGGGGCAGGGCGAGCGTAGCTGTGGGGCGGGGCTGGGAGTGGCTGCTTGGGGGGCGGGGCTGGGAGTGGCTGCAGGGGGCGGGGCTGGGAGTGGCTGCGGGGTGGGGCAGGGCGAGTGTAGCTGTGGGGTGGGGCTGAGAGTGGCTGCGGGGGGCGGGGCTGGGAGTGGCTGTGGGGTGGGGCAGGGCGAGTGTAGCTGTGGGGGTGGGGCTGAGAGTGGCTGCGGGGGGGCGGGGCTGGGAGTGGCTGTGGGGTGGGGCAGGGCGAACGTAGCTGTGGGGCGGGGCTGGGAGTGGCTGCAGGGGGCGGGGCTGGGAGTGGCTGCGGGGTGGGGCAGGGCGAGTGTAGCTGTGGGGCGGGGCTGGGAGTGGCTGCGGGGGGTGGGGCAGGGCGAGTGTAGCTGTGGGGCGGGGCTGGGAGTGGCTGCTTGGGGGGCGGGGCTGGGAGTGGCTGCGGGGCGCGGGGCTGGGAGTGGCCGTGCCCGCCTGCGGGAGGGGCCGGCATGCCCAGGAAGGTCTGTGGGGGAGCGGGCAGCAGGGAGGGGGAGCGCGAGCGCTCGTGTGCCCGGGGCTGTGCCACGGGGGACCTGTCAGCTGGCCTGGGCGGGCTGCGGGCGGCACGTTCTCGGCTGCCGAGCGGAGCAGGGGAGTGCCCAGGAGGAGCTGCCTAGTGGAGGGGCTGCCGAGCAGTGGAGGGGCTCATGCCAGCGCAGACTGTCTCCTGGGGGCCTGTGGCACGTCTGCCTTTCCCAGGCGGGGCAGAGCTTTCTGCCCAGCCGTGTGGCCGTGCCGCTGGCTGCAGCAGGCTCAGATTCTGCCGCTTTGCAGCCGGTAACCCGGGCAGTGCCCTCGCTGGCTCAACGGTGGGACTGGGCTTGCCTAGGCGGGAGGTGCAGGGGACCTGCCTCCAGCGGGCCCGACCCTGCCAGGGAACTGCTGTTTGTCCAGACTCCCCTCGCCTCCCCCCATGCCCACGGGGTCTCCTTGGCCACAGGGCTGGCCCCCCCAGAGACACACCTGTAGACCTGGGGTGTGCCTCTCCCCTGCCACGTGTAGGCGGTGGGGCAAGTGGTGCTGGGGAAGTGGGAGAGGCCAGGGCTCTCTTCCCAACTCTGTGTGGGGCCCTGCTGCCCGTTGGCAGCTGTACACTGCACTCCCTCCACAGGCTTGAACTGGAAGAACCCAGGCTGCGCGAGCCATAGTATCAAGCACTCCCAGGCCAGGCAGGGTGCTGGCTTCGTCTCCCAGCTCTGCCCTGACAAATCCTGTCCACAGAGGCTCACGGGCTGCAAAGAGCAGGAGTCCCGCAGGCCAGGCAGCAGGGACCATGGAGAGTGATTCCCAACCCAGGGCTGGATCACATAGGCCTGGAACGCAGGGCCTCGCGCCCGTGGCGTTTACTGCCCAGGCCCATCCCGCCACCTGCCTGCTGCATCGCTGGGGATAATGCGAGCATGCCTGAGCCAGGCCCAAAGCCTGCGCCTGCCCCGGCCCAGCTCCGCAGTAAGGCGATTAGCACAGAGCAGCCTCAGGCTGTGACAGTCACATGCTCACTGAGCACCTCCGAGGCAAGTGTCAGGCTGTGAGAAGCCAAGGCCACCCGCGGGGGGCTTCTGGGGACTTGCAGCTCCTGACACTGTGCTCTAAGCTCTGTGTCTCGGCACTCACAGCGAGACGGACAGAGAGGCCTTTGTTCTGTGCAATGCACTCTGCCCCATCTGGGCCCCCTCCTCATTTGGGGCCCTACAGAAATGGCACCTACACTGCCCAAACCGTGGGCGCACCATCGCCGGGATGGCCAACCTGGGAGCTGCCCCGCAGCCAGCACTCCTGCATTAGTCCCTCCAGCGCCTCCCGCTGGGGCAGGCTGGGAACTAGTGCTCCTCCACTCTCTACAGCACCTCCTGCTGGCGAGGCTGGTGCTCCCTGCAGCTAGGACTTCTGCACCATTCCCTGCTGCCTGGAGGAGCTTCTCAAAGCCAGTGCTGTTCCTACTCCCTCCAGCGCCTCCTGCTGGCAGAGGCCACAATGGTGCTGTGAGCTCGCCCCTGCTCTGCTTCTTGTGCAGCAGATAAGTCCAGTGCACAGCAGCTGTGTGTGGGTACGGGAGCTGCCCTATTCCCTGTACCTGTGCAGCAGGCATGGCCCCGTTTTCAGTCCACGTGTCTCCCACCCTTGTGCTGCACACCTGATGATGGCTATTCTCAGATATGGCCAGCCTTTCATAATCTGAATTTTGCCTCTTTTCTAGGGTGACCAGACGTCCCGATAAAATCAGGACTGTCCCGATTTTTAGTTCTTTGTCCCGTGTCCCG